CCAGGGACGGGTTTTGTGGAAGACAGTTTTCCACAGACGCGGGGTGGGGACGCGGGGTGGGGACGCGGGGTGGGGACGCGGGGCGGGGAGACGCGGAGCGCAGGCGCGGTGCGAGGGGACGACGGACGACGGCGTTACAGAGGCTCCCGCTCGCCTGGCTGGCGGCCGCGCGTCCCGCGGCGTGGCTGGGCTCCTAGGTTTCCTGGAACAGTTTTTCCATGGCGGGACGGGGGTGGGGCGGAGGAGGGATGGGGTCGCCAGGTTCCTAACAGGCCACAGGCCAGTACTGGCCCCTACCCAGGGGTTGGGGACGCAGATCTCTGGCACCTGAAGTCTGCAAGAACAATAGATTGAGGCCGGGCGCGGTGGCTCACGCCTGTAATCCTAGCACTCTGGGAGGCCTAGGCGGGCGGATTGCTCGAGGTCAGGAGTTCGAAACCCAGCCGAGCAAGAGCGAGACCCCGGCTCTACTATAAATAGAAGAAATTAATTGACCAACTAACATATATAGAAAAATTAGCCGGCATGGTGGCACGTGCCTGTAGTCCCAGCTACTCGGAGGCTGAGGCAGGAGGATTGCTTGAGCCCAGGAGATTGAGGTTGCTGTGAGCTAGGCTGATGCCACGGACGCCACGGCACTCACTCTAGCCTGGGCAACAAAGTGAGACTCTGTCTCAAAAAAAAAAAAGAATAGATTGCATAGTCCCTACCTCCATACCCTCTTACAGTCCTCTCATAACCCTTCTCCCTTGCCTATTCCCTTCCATCTAGAGCAACCATTCTTTCCCACCTAACTCTGGTCAGGGAGGGTGGCTTGCCTGTTGGGAAGCTCTTGCTGCAGTCTAGTCTGCACCTCGCTCTGCCTGTCACTTCAGTGCGTTCCCGTCGGTGCTTTGGGCAGATAGAGCACTTTGACCACCTGGAGGTAGACCTGGACGTTGCCCCTTCAGTGTTTAGAGACAGGACTCCTACCTGGAGAGGGTGATCAGGCTCTGGGTTTTCTTCTTTTAGGATTGTTATTCTGTAACCAGCACCTGGCAATTGGGAGACAAAAAGACAAAACCAATTTCCATATTGAGAACCAGAAACTATAAATTAAAAACAAAACACAGCACCTGCCACATCAGTAAGAAGAGAGTGGTCGCACAAGTCACGGAGCACAGCAGAGGCTCAGCCTGAGCTGCTGAACACCCAACAGAGCACAAGTCACGGAGCACAGCAGAGGCTCAGCCTCTCAAATGCCAGTGGCTACTTCTGTGCAGAAGCACCGGTGGAAGAGAGTCCCTAAATCCTGCTCTCTGGCTTTGGAATGCAGTATGTAGTTTCTGGCTTTGGAGAAATGAGTTCTATTCTGTCTCCTTCACTTAATAGTACATGACCTAGGTAACTTACCTTACCTCCCTGGAGTTACATGGGTCTCATTGCAAATTGCAGATAATAACACTTACCTTGGAGGATAGTTGTAGGGTTTTGAAATGTTGGATAGTGGTCCTTTAAGAAATGGTACTTCTAGTGTTACCATTTCAGGTGGCAGAACCATCTCTGATGACTTCAGCACAGGCTGTCATTACAGTGGGTCTCCATCCCCTGAGCTGTCCTGACCTCTCACCCAGAGGACCATTGCCTGGTATGTGCAGGTAGGGCAGCTAACACTGCAGAGATTGAGCTGCCTCCTCCTTGTCCCACTTTTTCCTTCCTGTCTTTAGAAATAAAGAAATAAATTTATAATTTCCTATTACGTCTGAATATTTTAAAAATTGGGATTAGTCACTGTTTTGTGAGTTACCTGAGTTTAAAATAATAAAATATATCCATATGCCTGTTCTCAATTGGCCAAGGAATGGGCATCCACACATATCTGGCCTTCACGTAAGCACAGAGACAGATTTTTTTCCCCTTTGATCTTCTCACTTTCCCCAAATGGCAGGAGCAACTTCCCACTTACAGGTCTTCATAGTTTTCATTCATGCCTGTGAAGAATCTGTTTTCATTTTCCTTCCTATCAGCCTGTAGATTGTCTGGGGGTAGAGAACGTGATGAATTGGTGAGAGTCCAGAGAGGTTGAACAAAGAACCCAGCATCACACAGCAAGTCACTGATTTGGAATGCGTGGGAGAAACGGGAGCTGGATTTGTCTTTCATATTTTTAAGGTACCAAGAAGGTATAAAACACTTGAGAGATTCCCTCTCTGCTTCCCTGTGGTGGCTACCCACTGTTTAGTACAAATATAATCTGAGCCACAAATGTGAGCCACTTAAATAACTTTAAATTTTCTAGTAGTCACATTAAAAAAGTAAAAAGAAACTAGTAAAGTTAATGTTAGTTATATATTTATTTACCTCAATATTTTCAAAATATTATCATTTCGATAAAAACTATAAAAATTATTATATTTTACATTCTGTTTTCATACTAAATCTTGTGAAATAGATGATTCTTCATTTATAGCACGTTTCTATTTGGAACAGCTGCTTTTTTCCCCTGCCCCCACCCCTCCCCTGGAATAGCTACTTCTGAAGTACCTAATGGCACATGTGGCTAGTGGCTACCAAATTGGGCAGTGCAGAGCTAGCCCCTTCCTCACTACCTGACAAAGGTGGGTGCTGGGGACAAAAGGTGCTTTGAGGCCTCACTCATTAGCTTTAGAGGAAGGGCTGTTGTGGGGCCAGCCACCCGGGAGCCCGGTATGGTAGGAAGGGGCCCCTCTACCCCAAAACCTGTAATGGCAACACTGCCCAGAAATAGGGCTTGAGAGGAGACAGGAGACAGAGTTCCTGAAGTGAGAGGCTGAGTGCCCCTTGTCTCCCAGTGCACCCCTACTGGAAATAGGGGCAGGGCTCAGAAACCCCTTTGTGTGGTAGAGGAGCCCAGAAGCTGGGAACAATAGCCCCTTCCTGGCCTGGATTTCCTGTAGGGGTGCTGGACTGAGCGAAGAGCTGCAGGGTGTAGCCCATAGAGGAGGGGCTTCCAAAAGCCCCAGCAGCCCTGGGAGTAGGCAGAGGGAGAAGCATGGGCAGTTCCCTTGACAATTGCTGGCACAGCCATGTAGAATGCTCAGGGGAGACTCAGTGAGCCCCTTAGGAGGGATCTGCAAACCTAGAGCCAGAGCAGAGGAAATACTGCCTGGGAGCACTTTGCCTGCAGGGTCCTACAGGCATTTCAGGGTCCAGCCACGACTCCTCCATCCCTAGGTTTCCAGGCGCAGTCATCCTCCAACCGCGAGCAATGACTTTCAAGATAGGAACTGTGGAGACTGGACCAGTGGTGTGAGTAGACTCCCACTCCCCCTCCATTTCCTGGGCTTTAACAGGACCAGGAAGGAGTTAGGGGCTGTATGTGTGTGTGTGTGTGTGTGTGTGTGTGTGTGTGTGTGTGTGTGAGAGAGAGAGAGAGAGAGAGAGAACAGGCTGTGCCTGTGTTTTCCACTCCCAAACCTGCCCAAGTGGAAAACTATGGGCAATTCTAAACTAGAACCAAAGTATTTTCGACCTCAAGTGACTAACATTGCTGATCAGCTGAGATTACACCTGGTGGGATGGGAGAGTTGGACAAAGCAAAGCAGTTGCCAGAGGAGAGAAAAGCTCAAACAAAATTAACAACAAAACCAAAACACAGTTCCCTGTTTATGTCTGCTGAGTAGAGATTCCTGGCTGAATGGGTGGGGTTCTTGGGGCATTGCTCTGGTCCTGCTTTTCCATAGGTGCACGGGTGTGTGTGTGTGTGTGTGTGTGTGTGTGTGTGTGTGTGTGTGGCAGTGGGGGTGGGGAGGTGGGGTGTGGGGCTCTGGTGATATTTCTAGACAGTAGACTCCAACCAGCTCTTTATTCCTGGCTTAGACAAGGACAGCCTTCACAATGAAGGGAGTACTTACAAATACCAACCCTTCGTCCTAGTTGCAAACCTGGACAAGTGTTTGAAACATATCTGACCAAACATCTAAAGCCCGAGTCATACACTTCTGTCTGTTCTGGCCAATTTCTGTTTCCTTGCAAGACTGGAAGAGGGATTTCCCCAAAATGTCATTGACTTTGAATCTATTTTCTCTTCTTCTATGGTTAGGAAGAGACACCAGTGTGCACCAGAGAAGTAAAAGCCGAGATCACACAGTCCCTGCCTGGGCCTTGTCTTTGGTCTGCCAGATAACTCAGCACCAACCTGCTCACAGCCACCATGATAGCCAGGGCACTGCTTGGGCATAAGTCCTGTCCCCTCTGTGGCTCTCACAGGAGTCAGGTGGCAGGCAAGTAGGATATGATGAAGACAGGGTATAGGAAATGTGTGAAAGGAAGCGCAGTGACGCATGAAAAGTGCTCATCAGAGAGCCTGGCATTTGAAGGACCCAGTGGTCACAGTTCAGTTTCAGTGGGGTAATGGGGACAGAAGCCCCTTGAAGTAGGTGAATGGAGAAGGTGACATCCTCTTCCTTACCTTTGAGTTTTTTCAGGCTCCCTGTGATGGAGTCATGTCTTGATTTTGCTTCACTAAGTTTTTTCTCGAGGTCCAGATGAATAGGGATTGGGCTGAGAAATTGAAACTCTTCACTCCTAGAGAGACATGGCTGAACTGAGTGGTGAGATCAGGGGATGGACTGTCAGGGAGGGAGGATCTGAGACATGGAGTTAAGGGATGAGGGCACAAGACCCAGGTAGGGGTAGAGGTCAGGGGATAGTGAGCCGGGAGTTGGGAGGCCAGGGCTAGGGATTCGGGGCAAGAGGGGAGGTAAGGCATAGCAGATATGGAAATGAAGATTGCAGATGGAGACAGAGGCAAGGAGAGAAGGGAAAGGAGCAGGGAGATGGAGTGGGGGACCCATCAGCCATTCTGCTGGGCAAGGGGAATGCAAGAAATCAGAGAATCTGTGCTGGAGAATCAGGAAGCCCAAGGAAACAGCTGGTCTCTTTAACAACCAACCCACTTGCTAATACGCTCAGCTTAGGCCTCCCCTGTGCCTCAATGCGTGACTGCGAAGTTAGAGTATGTGGGTATGTGCCAGGGAGGAATGTTGAGTGCGTTTGAACACATGTTGAGTGCTGTACATATGAATGCAAAATGCATTTGGCGTGGCCATCCACACCTGCACAAGACAACTTTGATGCCCTAGAAGAGGAAGAGGAACAGCACAACCTTAGCACTTGGCCTATTTGCAGGCGCTAAGGCAGGTGCAGACCCTGCTGGGTGTGGAGCAGAGCAGGAAAAGTGCGAACACCTCTAAGTCTCTTTCTCCCTCTCATTCTCTCTCTTACCCTGCACCCCTGCCCTGCCCACCTGCCACGAAGGGCTCTTCCCAGAAGCACCTGCTCTTCCAGTAGGCAGGAAAATGGCTATACCTCAACAACTGAGTGTAGAACAGAAGAGTGAGATTTGAAAAATGAATTTTGTCTCTGAGACTGAACTGGAGGAACCCTGCTAGCCAGGACAGAAGAAAGGCTAGAATAGCTTCGTGTGATCCTTCTTGAAAGAAAAATATGGATTCTTGAAGGAGATGAATTCAGGAGGGATCATCTCAGGTTATTCTGAGCACCAGCTAGACAGACCTGCACTGTTCAGTTCAGAAGCTACAGCTATATATGGCTACGGGACACTTGAAATGTAGCTAGTATGTCAAGAAACCAGATTTTTTATTTAATTTTCACTAATTCAAATTTAAATTTAAAAACTGAAGCAAAGCTAGGTGCAATGGCTCAAGCTTGTAATCCAGCCACTCAGGAGGCGAAGGTGGGATGGGATGGTCGCCGCGGGCCGGAGTCAGAAGCTGCGGTGAGCTGTGGTCACGCCACAGCACTCCAGCCTGGGCAACAGAGCAACTCCCTGTCTCTAAAATTTTTTTAAAATAATAAAAAAAAATTAACCCCCCCTGCAGCAGTATAAAATACTTTTCCATTAAATACCTCTTTATTGATTTGGTAGGACTATGTTTTACTTCAACAATTAACAATTTAGCATTTGAATTAAGATGTGTTTAAGTGAAAAATATATATCCTTCAAAGACTCTGTATTAAAAAAAAAACCAGAATGTGAAATATCTCATGAATACTTTAAAAATATTCATTACAGGCCGAAAGGATAATATTTTGAATATATTGACTTAAATAAAATATCTTATTAAGATAAATTTCACTTTTATCTTTTTAACGTGGCTACTAGAAAAATTTTAAATTACATATGTGGCTCACATAATTCTAAATTATACACGTGGCTCATATTTCTATTGGAGACACTGGGCTAGAGGTAGGATGATTGGGCAATCTCAGGTATTGTGCTAGGGGGTCAGTGCTGTCACCTGAGACTAGGATGGGCTGCTACCTCTGCGATTCAGACGGACCCCAAGGGACTCACCTCTAGCAGCTGTCAGGACCGCATTTGCCCTTGGCCTTCAGGGAACCGATGAGCTTCTTCAGAGGGTCAGCTGTGCCAGGTGGAAGTGACACGGAGTTTCCCGCCTGGGCTCCCTCGTGGTCCAGCCAGCTCCTCCCTTACAGGAGGAGACTCCTCTAGGACCTGAAGCAAGTGCTTGAATTCCCTGAGGATCCTTTGCCTCTCGCGCTCCGCCTGGGCCTGGGGGAGGAAAAGGGACAAGCAGAAAATCAGAGGGTGGCCTCAAAGTCCTTCTAGCCCACTTTGTTCACGTTTTCATCGTATTCAGTCTATACTGAGTGCCAGTGCAAGGCCACGTGCTGTGGCAGACCCAGAGGAGAGGAGGGGAGAGGAACGCGCACCACACACTCGGCTTTAGGCTAAATTGTTAATTTATGTTTTATCATTTTTGCCTTCAAGGATCTGAGTGTCTAATACCTTTCCAGAAGTTTTCCATGTGCTTTCACACGGATTTTTCCTCTCTCTCTCTCATACACACACACAACACACACACACACACACACACACACACACACACACACACGCACGCGCGCACGCGCTCCCCAGGTAAAGGAGGGGACTGCGTTACCACCTCTTCATTTTCTTCCTGGGGGATGGTCCCCAGGCAGTGGCGGGCGAGGCAGGGCTGGGCGCCAGCACCCGCACTTCCCGCGCTCGGGCGGCCCCGCCCCCCGCTGCGTCGCGCCGGCCGCGCAGGTGCCGGGCCGCGCAGGTGCGCGCGTCCTGCCCTCTAGTCCCGCGGCTCCCGCCCGCTCTGCGCCGCTGGCTCTGCTGCCGAGCCTGTCTCTGCGGGTCAGTGTGATGAGGGACCCTACGAGCTTCGACGGAGATGCTGCTGCTTCCGAGACCCGTGGCAGGCAGCGTTTTCTTACCGCGGAGACAACGACGCTCTTGGCCCGGCGCCTGCGCTTGCCCCGCCGCCGCGAGGCGGGTCTGCGCTGAGTCCGCCTCCGTGGGCACGGGCCAGTGGGCGGGCGGCGCCCGGGATTTCTGGGCCTTTCAGGAGAGCGGGTGCGACTTTCCAGGGGAGTCCGGGTTAATTATTAATACCCCCCACGCTGGCGGGGAGGGGCTTCTGGGAAGGGAGGAATCTGGAGCCTGTGACCTGAAAGAGGAGGATGTGGCTATTTTTGGCGGCCTACCACGACTGTTACGTGGTGCTCTGCCGTTATCAAAGAACTCCTACAGCCTTCCCTCACCTTCCTAGCAACAGCTTTAAGAGATGTCTTATCGGCGCCATTTGAAAGGTGAGGCACCTGAGGCCCAGAGAGGTAAAGCGCTTCCTGGAAGACGGCACAGTAAACTCAGGGTCTGGACCTGAGCCCACACCTCCCGAGTCAAAATTCCACACCCTTTCCATTCTCCACTGTGCCTCGATCCCAGCACGCAGCAGCCCCCAGACTCAGAGCTTTGCTCCTTCGGTGCCTGACGGCCAACTCCCCGCTCGCTGGAGCGCAAGGGGTGGGGCAGCGCGGCACAAGCCCACAGTCTCCCGGCCCTTGAACTCCTGGGCTGATGGGCACAGGGAAGGAAGCCCGAAAGCCTACCTGATAATGCTGGGCGGCTGCTTCTATCCAGCTGGCGTTATGGGATCTGTGGTCCTTGGACGGGACCTGCCCAGTGCCTCGCAGGACAGCTCTTCCCTATTGGGCCGCATCTCAGAGGGAGCCAGAGGTTGGATTTTCTCCATGAGATTCACCAGCAGCCAGTTGGGCCTGCATGTGTCCTTCCTCACGGAACTGTTGCACAGGGACATTTGAAAAAGTTGTCTCATGCTCCCCCTCTCCGGGTGTGCATCTGACCCAGAAATTATGCCCACAGTTGATGGTGACAGGGTACTCAGAATGTCCAAGCGGACAGGGCAAGTCACTTCCTCCTGCAGTTTGCTGGCAAACTGGACTGGCCATGGCAGAGCAGCGGCTGTGTCAGCCTGCAGGAGTCTGGAGGTTGCTGGGGACGCTGCTTCCAAGACAGGAGGAGGCAGAGGGGGGTCAAGGGTTCTACCAACTAGTTGGGGGAGGGAGGGAGAGGGGAGGATAAAAGAAAGAAAAAAGTTACAGGAATGATAGACAAGAGTAAAAATCAGAATGTAGGGTAAAGAGGAAAACAGATGGACAGTCCTACCTGAATGTATATGTGCTGCTTTTAAAGTGAGGTAAGTTGCCTTGAACCTTGAGCTAAATACGTGTTTGTGAGGCAGTTCCCTGCGACCAGATGGCCACTCATAGAAGACTGCCCATCAGCCTCAGGTGGGGGCCGAGGCCGAGGCCTGCTGCGGGGCAGCCAGTGCACCAGCAACGGGAGCGTGTGGAAAGGAGGAAAAGGCAATTCCCACCCTCAGGCACTTCTGCTCCTCAAAGAATTCTGCAGAAATGTGGAAGATGCAGTCACCTGTGTTGGGGAATTCCCAGCCACAGGGAGAACCGGGCGCCCCTAGTGCAGTGGGAGAAGCAGGGGACTTCCTGAGAGGCTGTCCTCTGTTTCTGTACATGGTTCTTGACCCTGGTGGGTCCTCTGACTCCCCACAATGCCTGTGGCAGTCTGTCCTCTCTTGGGGTTCTCCCTGCACGTCCTCAGCACTCTGGTGTCTGTGTGCCCATTCTTGGCTTTGCCTAGTCTTTATCTGTGTTCCTTCCACCTCCTTGGTGCATCTCTGATCCCCGACTTCACTTCCCCTGTGGCTTTTGTTCTGACCAGGAAAATATCAGCCAGTGTCACCTACACTCCCTTCAGTAGCTCAACACATTCACGTCTTGACCTTTCCTCCTCCTTCTTGTATTAAGGCAAAAGGTGATTCCTACCCGTCCCTTCCTCTGGGTCCCGGCTTCTTGTTTCTCTCCAGTATCAGCCGGCAGTCTGTCCCTACCAAGAAGCACACCATTAATTTTTACCTGATCTTAATCTTAAATGGGAATTGTGGGTGATTTTATGATTATAGCCAGAGTGATCATACATTCTGCTTTGCCTGGAGCAGTCCTGGGTTTCACTTTGTCCTGTTGTGATATTAATAGTTCCTCCTTTCATCATCAGAAGTGTCCAGTCTGGATGATAAATTATATGGTTACCCTAATTATAGCAACTGTTGTAAGCCAAAGACTTTCAGAAATGTTATACCTCTAGGCCTTTCTCTTGGTTTGCTTAAGGTCAAATGAAAGCAGCCTAACATTTATAGTGTTTTACAGTTTTAAGTCCTCCTAAGCTGCTAGCCCCTGGAGGCAAATTTAACTTTTAATGGGTTTTATTTGACTGACATAATGATTTTTAAAATAATGATTATTTGGATGTCTTTAGAGAGGGTGGCTATTTTTTCCACCACTCCCTATGAAGTCGTGTCCCTCTACCCCTGAAAGCATTTGTCCTTATGACCCTGAGTTACAAATTTATTTTGTTTATATTACTTCATTTAAGTTTCACCTGCAAGAAATTATCTTTATCCATCCTCAAACAAGGAAACAGAGTATGCTTCAGAATCCCTTGGAAAACCTGTTAAAACACAGATTTGCTGATCCCCAGCAGAGACTTTCTGTTTCAGTAGGTCTAGGGTGGGGCCTGATAATTTACATCTTAAACAAATTCTCTGGGATGCCAGGGCTGCTGAAGCAGCCCACACATTGAGAACCACTGGTTTGGAGACACCACAAAGTGCACCAGCTCATCCAGCTCATAAATGACAGAGCTGAGATTCAGTCCCAGGTTTTCCATTCCATATTAGTGCTCACTCTTCTTTTCTGTTATACTATGGACAAAACAAATGGTAATCCTCAAAATGATAAACAAATCATTTTTTAGACACTGTTCATGCAAGCAAATATTTTTTTAAACGAACATTGATATTTCAACGAGGCTGGGCAAGCCAGCAGAAAGGACGAGAATACTTACGCGGACACCACTGGAGAGCTCCAAACAACTATCACTGAACAGGTACTGGCGGCTTCACGTGGGGGGAGATTTAGACATAAAATAGGAGAAAGTACGGTATTGCAAAGGTGTTTTACTCTCCTAGAATTATTATTGTTATCCTTGAGTTATCCATCCACAGGACTGAATGGCTATTTTAAACTCTTAGCAGGCTCAGTAGTCTGAAAAACCAAGTTCCTCCAATTTGCAAGTGCTGGGGTCTTGAGAGAGATGGATTGTACTAGTTTTAGAACATCCAAGCCAACTGGGGCATAGAACTTATAAATTGTAGCCATAAAAGAGGCAGTGACAGAGCGCTATCATGCAGCTGACATGTCAGGCACAATTCTGAGCACTGGCATCACAGTGAGCAAGCTAGACAGAAGCGCCACCCACTGAGGAGCGGGGGATAAGCCCGCTACCCACATGAGCCATTGGCCAGAGGTAATAGGTGTTGTGGAGATGAAATAAAGCAGGAGAGATGAAAATACACCAACTTGAAGACAGATGTCAACAGTGTTACTGCTGGTTGGTGGAATCATGGGTAATTATTTTCTTTTATACTTTTCTCTTTCAAATATAATATAAGGAACATACTTTCTCTTAAAGTAAGAAAAAACCCACAATAAATATTACTTAAAAAAACCCCACACCTTCATTTGGCCCCATTTTCTACAGAATGAAGTCCAAACTTCTCCATAGGTCTCCTGCCTTCCACCTAAACTTACCTCTGTTCCTCAAGACTGTCTTTCCCAGTCTGACTGACACTCTGTGATCCAGATTTGCCAAGTAGGGTTGCCAGATTCAGCAAATAGAAGTACAGGATGCCCTGTTAAATATGAACTTCAGATAAACGATGAATATAATATTTGAGACATACTAAAAATTATTTGTTTTCCTATCAATAACTTTGTCTAAAAAAAATATATATATATATAAAAAAATTATTTGTTGTACATCTGAAATTCCAGTTTACTGAGAAGCCTATATTTTATCTGGTAAAGCTACAAGTGATCCTCTTTCCCCATGTGCTGGAATAATCTCTTTCCCATCTTCCCCAATATTTCCAAGTAACCAGTGGGTGGGGAGGAGGGGTGAGGGTGGGTAGGTGTTAGGTTTGTTCTGTGGGGGAGGAGGGGTGAGTGTGGGTAGGTGTTAGGTTTGTTCTGTGGGGGAGGAGGGGTGAGTGTGGGTGGGTGTTAGGTTTGTTCCAGGTGGGGACCCAAAAGTATGTATGGGACAGAATGTGGTTAGTGCGAAACGTAGCCAGCTGCAGCCAGCACGGCTTGCCCTCACTCTCTCCCTTCCCCTCCCTCCCTGATAGAGACGAAGTCTATTCCTCTCTAGCTCTCCTGATAAGGACCACGGGAGGAGAAGGACAGACTCGACTGGGCAGAGGGCTCTCAGGAGTTGGTTGTTTGAAGAAGTTGCTAGAAGCAGCTGTTCTGCCCACCATCCTCTGCCCCACACCTCTCGAGCTGCTCGTAGCAGGAAGCAACTTGTTACCTGCCAGTTTGGCCAGAAACAAGGAACTGAACAGGGCAGGGGGAGGGGGTCGCCATCCCTGTTTATAAAACCCTCACTAAATCCCCTTCTGTGCTGACTCTTTTCTCGGACTCAGCCCACTTGCACCCGGGTGCGTAGGCCAGCCGTGCTGCCCCCCTAACCTGCGTGTGAAATATGCCCTTTGGTCATTCACCCTCTTAGTGAGGATGAAAGACAAACCTATCAAATCTTATATTAGTATTATATAAGATATGCTGGGGGTGGGTGCAGGGGGTGTGAGGAAGGGGCATAGTTAAAAGGACTCTTTCTTGACCTTTGGTTGTGACTTTCCTTTAGATAAAGATTGCACCTTTAATTTGAGTGCCCTGACCCAGGAGTCAGGTATAGGTGAATATCCAAGGTCCTCTTCAGTAACTAAACTCTATTTTAGTTATATAGGACATTTATTCAAATTCTCCAGCTATTTTAATTCAGGAAAATTTTCTTAGTGGATGTTTTTAACCCAAGAGTGTCTTTGAAAATTGCCTTTTTTGTTGGTGTTGCTTTAAAAACAATCATTTAAAATATGGAACAATTTAAGGGGCTTTAAAATGGACAACTTTTGTTCCAAATGAGGATACCTCTCCATCCATTTGTCTGACCTACTCTTTGCTCCCATGGCCCCTACCCCATTCATTAGCCCCACAGAGACCTCACAGCACCTCGAAGCTGATCCCTGAGTCAGACCCACAGTCCAGTCACAGGGTCAGCTCAGTTGGAAATGAAGCTTCTGCTGAGCCTGCAGGGGGAAGGCTGATGCTCCCGTCTCCTGCCAGACAGCAATGTGCTGCAGCCCAGAGCAAGCACAGATGAGCGGCTGGGCCCAGGCTGCCGGAAACTCACGGGCTGACATCTGGCCACTCCAGTGCACTAAACTGGTAGCATGGCCACCATCTCAGTGAGTCCATGTTACAGACAGACAGAAGCAGTGGGACATGGCACCCCGGGACAGCTGTCTAATCCCCTCCTGGAACCAAGCTTTAGAAAAATTTTTCACTTAAGACTGTGAAATAAAAATTTGTGTTCTTGGCTTCCTTTCTGCAAAAGAAAAAAAAAATTCGTACCCATGACTATGGTTTTCTATCTTGATGTCCTCAGGACTTACTGCAATGCTTGGCACAAAATAGCTAATCTTCCAGTTGCCATACTACACTGAGCCATTGATTAAAGACTCTCTAGGTACCAGTGTGACAAAAGTCTTTAGGCAATATTGCTACATGAAAAACAGAACAGTGTTTAGCATGCAAAATTTTGCTTAATAAAATGGAGAAATGCTCATGTATATACTTGTATTTACTTTTACTTACATAATCATTGAAAGGATACACAAGTAACTCATAAACGTGTTTACTGTGGGTCAGGGATGGGTAGTGGAAGATGAGGTAAATAAAGGCAAGGGGCTTGCAGATCTTGATGTACCCTTTTTCATACATTATTTTTTGAGGCAAGTGAATGTAACACTTGTAGGGGACTGACATTATATTTTCCTGGTTTAAGAATTAAATTTAGTGAGTAATGTACATGTTCTGCCCAGATGTTTAAAAGTAATGTGCTCTGGACAAGGTCCCTGTGATAAACAGGGCTGTTGCCTAGAGGCATAACAAAGGACCTGAGCTGCAAGTAAACAAGAGCTGCCCAGCCCCACAGCAATGGGGGTCTGGAGCCACACAATAAACACATTATTCCTGTGATTGCTGCTTGAGCCCCATAAGATGGCTGGTTAGTCAATGATGGGGTAAGACCCCTCAAGGGAGGGGCGACCTAAGCCAGCACAGCTGCCTGGGATCAGCCTAAAATCTTAGGGGATCACCCTAAGAAAAGCTGGGGATAAAAAATGCCCCCTGTGGCTACCTTGCCCATCCTTGCTAATCTCAGTCCGTGATCTATGCCTGGCACCTAGAACAACCACCTGAAAACCTTGAGTCAAGGGATATCTGCGTCCCTAAGGCTACGTGTTCCAGAATTTATGGCCATTGCTGCAATGCCTGGGCGGTTACATCCAAGGAACTAACTTTAATTTTTTACAGTATAAAAATAAAACTGACCCGATGTATTATCACTCGAGTCAACCATCTGTATGTGTGTCTGCATTTTTCTTTGTGTTCTGTGTTTTTGTTTTGTGTTTTGTGTTCATCCTCCGTCCTGTAAATGGGCCACAGCAAGTGGCGCAGCGAACAGGGTCTTGAACCCTGGAGGGTCTTGAACCCTAAACGGAGTCTGTGTCATTTCAGGGTGAAGGACCAGGCAGGCACCCCTTTGGCTATTGGTAAGTGGCATCCAACAGGAAAAAAATGGGAACTACCCCCTCAGCCGCCGAGCATGAATATTGAATGTTAATTCAAGGATTATTAAATTTGGTGGGGGTTGAAGTGAAAGAAGGAACCCTAAAGCAGTTGTTTGCTTTAGTGCAGAGACATTGTTACTGGTTTCAATCTCAATCTCAGGTACAGTTAAATCTTCATAGCTGGCAGCAAGTTGTTAAAGCTTTGCGTGTCACCCATCAGCAAGGGGACATCGTTGATTTAAAAATTTGGTCAGTTTGTAGTGCTGTTACTCAGGCTCTCTCTCTCCTACGGCCGGACTTGGAGAAGGGTGATTCTGATGGGAAACTGATAAAAACCCTCCGAGATCTCGACCTCCTTCCCCAAGTAAAGATGATCGGGAGGAGTCCTCAGGAGAGGAAAGAGTTGATCCCTCTTCTGATGTTTCTGCCTGAGTCAAGTTAAAAGAGCTTGTTCGATCTGAAATGCAGGAGTCAATCCCTTTGTTTGAGAAGAGCAGGATGTCTGCCGCGGCTGGTCCACCGCCACCTCCTCCTCTTGCCGCCTTTCCTGTTCAGCCCACCGCCCGTCTTTAAAATGCATTTTTACTGTTCCTTTGGGTACTCAGGGGCTGGATGATGATTCTCCCCCTCCTCCTGATTTTGATGACAATCCACCTTCAATGCCAAAGTCAGGCACTGCTTTCCCATCCCCCGACATAGGGCGTCCCCATCGTCAGGGAGGCTTTTGGCCTGGAGTAGATGCTAACTATCCAGGAGGTGGTTTTCATGTTAGATGTCAAGGTCTTCCGTACAAAATTCTGAAGGAAGTCAAGCAAGCAGTTCAATCATATGGTCCCCAATCTCCATTTATTACTGGTCATATTGATGCCTTTTTGAGCCAAAACATTTCTTTAAATTGGGAACAGTTAGGAACAACTACCTTAGAGAGCCCTCAATGGCTGCAACTTTGCAGTTGGTGGGTTGGGGAGCATGTATTCAGGCTCGTCTCAACGCTCAACAAAATCCTCAGGGGCTGACGAGGACGAGCTTACAGGCTCAGGGCAATATAAAACCTTAGAAGCCCAAGCAAGACTCGGAGATGCAGCCGTAGCTCAGACCAAGTCCATTTTTATTTGAGCCCAGAAAAGGATCGAGACCTCTGGTGTCCTGGGTTCGTCCTTTGCCAAAATATGCAAGGCCCTGCTGAGCCATATACTGACTTTTTATCTCGCCTTAAAGAGGCAGTTCAGAGGAGCGTTAGTTCCACGGAGGCTGCTACTATTATCATACAATCTTTGGCTGTGGAAAACGCTAATCCTGATTGTCAAAAAATTTTGCACCCGTTAAAGGCTAGCGGCACCACTTTGGACGAGTCTGTCTGAGCTTGTGCCGGTGTGGGGGGCGCTGCTCGCCACGCCACCTTAATAGCTGGAGCCACTGAAAAGGGGGTGGTCGCCCCACATGTCACAGCTGTGGTAAAGTGGGACATACTAGAAAAGAATGCAGACGAGGAGGGCTAAATGCCCAGCCCGTAAAACTTTGCCTTCAAAGCCTTGTGGCTGGTGCAGTAAAATAGGTCACTGGACTAACGATCAAAATTTGATAAAGATGGAAATCCCCTTTCAGATCCCCAGTCGGGAGACTTCTCGAGGGGCCCTCGACCTCAGGGCCCCCAAAACAATATGAGGCCTCACTTTCAGCAGTACCTGGTGAGCGATGGGATGGCCCATCAGAGGTACCACCCCTTTCTGCGGACGAGCAATGCTTAAAAATTACCCAGTTACACATGGCCACCAAAGGCAGTTCAGCGGCCGAACTCTCTGTGGCCAGAACCTATACATTAATGCCAGCAGGGGGTGTTCATAAGCTGTCTACTCAAGTTTTTGGTCCCATGCCTCAGGGAAAAATTGGATTGATAATTGGAAAAAGTAATAACACCCTAAAAGGTCTTTTTATACACTTGGGAGTCATTGATCCTGAGAAATTCAAATTATGGCTTTTGTCTCTCAGATTACAAAAATTTTTGCAGGAACCCGCATAGCTCAGATTTTACTTCTGCCGTATACCCGTTTCCCACCTGAGACGCCGATCGCCAAGGGGGACGTGGCAGCACAGGCACAAAGGTGTTTTGGGAAACTTTAATTCAAGATTCTCGGCCTGTCCCCAATCTCACTGTTGCAGACCGCTCTTTTGAGGGGTTGCTAGACACTGGGGCCGATGTCTCCATTATTTGCTTTGCTCAGTGGCCCCCTGAATGGCCCAAGTGCGCCGTGCCCACTGTACTTTCTGGGCCAGGCCAGGCTCTACATGTTTATCGCAGTGATGATTTTTCATGTGCTTAGGACAGGAAGGTCAAAAAGCTTCTTTACAATTTTATATTACCGATATTGCAGTAAATTTGTGGGGCTGGGATCTTTTACATCAATTTGGAGCTTTTGTGACCATTCCTTGCTTACCTGCCAAGGTTAAAAATATGATGTTAAAAATGGGCTATGACCCCATACATTTTAAAAAGGCTTCTGAGGAGACATCCTCTCCTTTAAACTAGTTGCCACTGCTCATCAAACCCCTTGAGCTATGTCATTGTGTTGGCTCACCGATCAGCCTGTATGGATAGAGCAGTGGCCTTTAACAAAAGAAAAGCTCGAAGCTTTAAAAATTTTAGTTGCTGAACAGCTTAAAGCTGGACATATAGAGCCTTCCATGTCTCCGTGGAATTCCCGTTTTTGTTATTAAGAAAAAATCAGGGAAGTGGGGATTTCTCACAGATTTACAAGAAATAAATAAGTGTACCCAACCAATGGGCCACTTACAACCAGGCCTTCCTTTTGCCTTCCATGATCACTTGGGGATGGTCTCTTATGGTTATTGATCTTAAAGATTGCTTTTTTTCTATCCCCCTTCAACCCTCAGACTGTAAGCCCTTCGCTTTTACCATTCCGGAATATAACAATGGGCACCTCACTGAGAGATATCAGTGGCGGGTGTTGCCCCAAGGCATGCTAAATAGCCCTCTGCTATGCCAAGAATGTGTTGATCCTGCTGTTAATGCTGTCCACCTATGGCACCCCTCTATTGTCCTTTACCATTGTATGGATGATATTCTTCTTGCAGCCCCAAATCAGACACTGAGTAATGCTGCGTTTAATGATCTTTGGGATAAGCTTAAATCCTACAATCTTGTCGTTGCTCCTAAAAAATTCCAAACTGAGTTGCCCATTGATTATTCGGTATATTGTTTATCTGAACAACAGTTAAAACCTCAAAAATTACAAATTAGGAGAGATAATTTAAAAACACTCAATGACTTTCAAAAGCTCCTTGGAGATACAAATTGGCTACGACCTTTATTAGGTATACCTACTTATGCTTTGCAACATTTGTTTGCTACATTACAAGGGAGCTCAGCTCTCCACAGTCCTCACTCTCTTACCCCACAGGTCGAGCAGGAGCTGCAAGCTGGAATAATGTCTTAGCTCTGGATTACTTACCTTTCTTCAACCTTCCTCTCTGATTATTCTCTATCTCTTTCATACCTATCATTCTCCTAAAGGATGCCTGGGCTGAGATGCTGGCATCCTTGAGTGGCTGTTTTTACCTAATGATCAAAATTAAAAACTCCTTAACTACCTAGATAAACTCACTCATTTAATCACCAGGTGCTGCTGACAAACTCGCCAATTTTCCAGACGAGATCTTGATAAAAAGTTACAAATTTGAGTTCCAAAAACATTCAAACTAATCTTGAACTTTCTACCGCCTGGCAGGTAGCCTGTGCTGACTATGTTGGAACATTTGATAACCACTGTCCTCCTCACAGATTGTATTCCTTCTTACGTGTACATTCTGTCCTCCCCCTAACAATCACAGCTCATCAACCTCTATCGGCTCCTACTTTTTTTTTACCGATGTTTCCAGCACTCGCAAAACCGATTACTGGAGTTCCCAGGTACAAAAGGTTGTTATCTCTCCTTTTCCATCAGTCCAGCAAAGTGAATTTTATGCTATTTGTCTGGTGCTGCAAGACTTTCCCAATGAGCCTCTTAATATCATTAGTGACTCTCAATATGCCGCTTATGTCACCTCCCAACTACCTACTGCCTCGTTACCACTTAATTCTTCTACAACGGTACAGCAGTTGTTTTCACACTTACAGACTCTTCTTCTCAAATGATATCTTCCTATTTATTTGGTGCACATTCGTTTGCATTCCAGATTGCCCAGTCCTTCATCACAAGGCAATACCAATATTGACTCTTTACTTGTAGCTTTGGTTCAAGATGCCTCACTTGAGCACATCCTTCACCATACTAATGCTAAAAGCCTTCAATACGATTTTCTCTCTCCAAAAAACAGGCTGGTGCTATTGTCCGCTCCTGTTCCCCCTGTGCTCCTCTCGCTCTTCCCTCCCTCCCCCCTGGGTGCAACCCACAGGGGTGCATAGTAATCATATTTGGCAGGTGGATGCTACCCACGTCACCTCGTTTGGAAAACTTCGCTATGTTCATCATACAATTGACACTTATTCTCATTTTCAGTGGCTACGGCTCATAGCTCTGAAAAGGCTGATGCAGTTATTACTCATCTTTATTCCTGTTTTGCTGTCATGGGACTTCCAGTGACATTAAAGACAGATAACGCTCCAGCTTATACCTCTCAAAAACTGCCAGCTTTCTAACACTCTATTCCATTCAACACATTACTGGAATTCCTTTTAACAGCCAAGGGCAAGCCATCATTGAGCGTGCCAATCATACTCTCAAGCTTCAGTTACAAAAACATAAAGGGGGAGTCAAGGAATCTCCTCACCAGCATTTACTCCGTGCCCTCTGTACCCTTAAGTTTTAAATTCTTGGCAGGACCTGCATGCCTCGGCAGCAGAGCGTCATTGCGCCTCTTCCCCTCCTTTGCAAAAGGCCTGTGAGCCCGTGTTTGCTGCCACTCCTACTGGAGGATGGGTTGAGGGAGAAGTTCTTCACTGGGGTCGGGGATATGCTTATGTTTCCACAGGACAAGGTTGTGAGTGGGTTCCTGTACGCCGGCTCAAAAGGCGATGTCCCAGTCAAGGTGCCGCACAAGATGACAACACGACATCTAAAACTAAAGAAGAAAAAGCAGTTGGTAACGCTGGCAGTGCGGCTGCCCCTTAGCCTACCTGCCTTTCCACTAATTTTATGCTCCTCTCTGGTTGATCAGGTTATTTCTGCTGATGCTCAGCATGTATATTGGGCTTATGTTCCCTATCCCCCCTTTTTATTTTTTATTTTTATTTTATTTATTTATTTATTTTGAGACAGAGTCTCGCTTTGTTGTCCAGGCTAGAGTGAGTGCCATGGCGCCAGCCCAGCTCACAGCAACCTCAAACTCCTGGGCTCAAGCGATCCTCCTGCCTCAGCCTCCTGAGTAGCTGGGACTACAGGCATGCGCCACCATGCCCGGCTAATTTTTTCTATATATATTAGTTGGCCAATTAATTTCTTTCTATTTGTAGTAGAGATGGGGTCTCGCTCTTGCTTAGGCTGGTTTCGAACTCCTGACCTCGAGCAATCCACCCACCTCAGCCTCCCAGAGTGCTAGGATTACAGGCGTGAGCCACCGCGTCCGGCCAATCTCCCCCCCTTTTTTTTTTATTTTTAGCATACTTTTATAGTCAGTAGTTAATCCAGCCAATGCTGTTGATGAGGTAGTTTGACATCCTTTCCCCTAGCATAACAATATCAGAGAATGAAAGATTAAGGCTATGCAACTGAGCCAACAGGAAAATCAAGAATCTCTACCTCCAAGCCATTTCTGGATCATCCTTATGAAGAATCTGCACATTCTCTGGTGCTTCCTGTAGGCAGACGGAATGTTTTCACTAACCCAAAAACCAGTGCTGATTCTGACATCACAAGCAAATCGTAATTCTCAATTATTCTCCAGTGGTTAAGCTTTCACTAAAGGCCGTGTCACTTTTTTTTGAACCCCTATGAGGACATCACTATTTCCTCTTTTCTCTTTGCGTAGCAATGCAAAGGAGGAAAAGGGAAAATAGAAAACAGTGACAAATGTGATGGAGACAGCAGGGCCAGGGAATGGGAAACTGGATTCTGCAGCTTTCTCACAACCCCTGGCAGAGTTCTTCGTGGGAGATGCTCATTATTTTGCGCAAAAGTACAATGAGATTCCAGAACATCAGCCAAATCCCTAGTCTAAACTGGGTATGAAATTGCATGCTACAATACAATACAATTTCCCCTCCCAAATAATTTGTCACTAAACATTACACATGCCATTTGTGTGGAAATGAAGACCAAACTGCAATATGCTTTCCATTTCCAACGTACAAATAGTTTTCTTCCTGAGTATGGCAAATTCTAAGTAAGTAAAAATGCATATGTCATTTATTTGAATAGACTGAGCAACAGGTTAACCTTAATTAAGTGGTGTTTGATTGATGGGAGAGAAAAATGCTACATCAGAATTGTAAGAACTTTTGAATGTGCTTTGACATGCATGTATTTAAGGTTCTATTAAAAAGAATCTCAGTTTAATGCCTTGGTTTACAACTCCAGGGACTGGAGTACAGAGAGATATTCTTAGATTGTGCATTTGATATTTGTCTCATTCATAATGAGGTATTTTCCCTTATAGCAAGGTACACATAAATGCAAAACTTTGGTACTTACATTATAATACGACATCTGCATAAAAAGAATAAATATAATACGTCAGCCAATAAGCCAGAAAATCTTATGCTACACAAATGTGTAGTTTTTACTGTGATGCTCAGACTGTAGTCTTATTTTTCAAGTTTTTGTTTTTCTTTGATACCATGCATTTATTTCCCCCTGAATCAATCACAGGTATTTTAATATAAGCTATTTTAAATGTAAATGTTATGCCTAAATATGTTCAGATTCATTCTATTAGTTGAAATAAACACAGACAGACATTAATACAATTTGAATAACTACATGTAAATGAGGCTACAGTACTATCCAATCCAGAGTATGTCGATTTCATTCACAAAGCCTTGCTATGCATAAATATAAAAATATTTATTTTCCAATATTTTCACTTTTGAAGTACTCCCTTCAAGAGGACACCAAAAAAGTGGTAAATAAGAGGTTTCAAAACTTTCTGTTAGACTATGATTTGAGGGGGGGATGAGTGGAAATGTCTATTGATAACTGGAGATGTTTATGGTAATGTGTGAAAGTATAAATGAACTCCAACAAACTCATTTTCCTCTGAAACCGTTGGGGTAAAATTTGTATATTATTGTTATTTTCAAAGGCTATTCTGCTTTTACTGAAATGCAACACACATTTACTGAGCACCTAGTATATTATTATATAGTCCAGTTCACTTTTCCCTAATAGGCTATCCTAGCCATAGGTGATCTTATCTCTTCCCTTGTGTATGTATGTCTGTGTATGTGAAAAGCTGTTTGCATGTATGTATGTGTATGTGAGAAGCTGTTTATATGTTATGTTCATGGTTAGTTTGCCTGTGGAGCAGCTTGGCGAATCCTCATCTACTTTTTATCAGTTTGTCGGCTTCATAAACCATCCCAGAGAGCAGACACACCAATCCCAGATCTGCCAGTTCTTTCTTCTTGGAAGACACTTTGAAGATTCATTTTCTTGAACCTTCATATATTGTTCATTCAGTGAAAACTTTTGGGGTAAAAAAATGGAACAGAGAGTTTCAGACAGCTCTGCAGAAACTGTACTTTGGTTTTCTGACTTCACTGTCCTTCGGAGTCGAATCTGCCACCTCGTCTGCGTTCTTCATGGCTGAGGTTATCTTAAAACAAAAATGGCAGGAAAGCTCTCCTATGCCTTGGGTAGGAGACAAATTTGCCTTTGTAGAATCTGTGGCTGAGGAAAGCAGACAGGGCCTGGCTGAAGAAGACATACGTCACCACTAGCCACCAAGTTAAGTTGTGGAACCCAAAGGTGACGGCCATGGAAATGTAGATCATCAGCTCCGCCAAGTAGTTGGGGGAGGAAAGGTATTTGAACCAGTCTCCGAAAGGGATTCTGTGGTTGCAGTGAATGACCACGCCTGCTTTATTTTTCCTGAGATTGCTGAGAATGACGTGGCACTTGTACTGATGGGCAGATGACCAGATGAACATCAGCATGCCGAGGATATGGAACCACCGCGCCTGCATCACTAGGTTTTTCCCTATTATATAGACATGCCTGCCGTCCAGCGGCACCTGGCTCAGCACCGTGAGGCCCACGAGCACATAGTAGGCAAGGCCAAAGCAGTACTGCACGATGTGAATCACGGCATTGGAGAACACGCTGACGTAGACACGAGCACTAAGAACGCGGACAGCGCCAGCTCACCACCTTGGAACTGTGCAGCCCAAGAATTCTGAGCAAACTGTGAAGCCAGTTTGGAAAAGGGGCTCCCAGGAACAGAGATTGAGTAAGGCACCAGAGCAGGAAGCCGTTCCACAGCACTGAGATGATATAGAAATGAGACAAATATCTTTTGGGGACATCGAAGGCCCGGCACACGGCGGGGCGCGGCGGGCCGGCGCTCTTGGTCTTCCCGTAGCGGATGAGGTCCCGGAAGAGCGCGCGCCCGGGAGCAGGCCGCACGGCAGCAGCTGCAGCAGCGCCAGCAGGAAGGCGGCGGCCAGCGGAGCCACAGCGTGCGCAGCGGGTCCAGCGCCGCCAGCTCGGCCCGCCCAGGGAGCCATGGCCGCGCGCCCGGCCACCGCAGCCCAATCTCCCCCTTTTTAAAGCGGTATCTTGGGGGGAGCCTGAAGTCATCGTCTATACTAATGATTCCAAATGGCTGCCTCCTCCTTGTCAATATCAATCACCGCATCCCGGGCATGAAGGGAGACTGGGTTCTAATTACTCTACTTATGCTCAAGGGTATCCCATTTGTTTTGGAGCAGGACAGCATTGTCTGGTACCCTCTACTCAAGCTTGGGTCTGCAATATAACACCTCTACTTTTGCAGCCCGCACTGTACTATTATCTATGAAGGGGTTTAAAGGGATGCCTTCTAACGCAACTGAAAGACCTCCATCTCTGCCCCTTTGTTCTATGCCTCACACTGAACCTCCTGTAGCTCATTTTGATTGGAGCGTATGTAGAGGTAAAGTTCTAAAAGAAGTACGCAGTAATCCTAAGATTGTTGACTGGAGCCCCTATGGCCACTTTAAGGAAAAGTGTTCTGCTCACTCCTTACGCTGGCGTGTTTATGAAGACACTGTCGAGGCCATTGCCAACGACGGTTATCTGGCATGATAAAGGCCCTTCCCCTCCACAGCCTCACTTACTCGGGGCTCAGAAAAACAAGGGCACATCTGGAAACTCTTGGCTACAGGAGGAAACCTTAAAATCTGGGTGGGGAATATGTCCTCAGATGAGAAGGGAGGCGTAAAGTACACCTCCAGCGTCGCCATTCTAAACCTTTACTGGCATGCGTTCCTTATCCTTATCTTTTACTCGTGGGAACTGTTTATTGGAATCAGTCTACAGGACAGTTGACTTGCCCTGGAAATTGTGCCCTATTTACTTGTGTAAACTTCACTCCATGGGCTACTTTTAACAGATCCTTACATAGTCTATATATCCTCAAGGCTCGTACAGAGATATGGTTGCCTGTTTACCTTTCCCGACCTTGGGGCGATTCAGCCCTGGTCACCAGTCTTTTAAATAAAATAACTTCTCTGGCTCGTAGAACACAAAGAGTCATTGGGCTGATAATCACGGCAGTCGTTGGCTTAATAGCGATTGCTTCCTCAGCTGCTGTCCCGGGGTTGCTCTACATCATTCTGTGCAAACGGCTGATTTTGTTCGTAAGTGGCATGAAGATTCGCATAAAATATGGCAACATCAGCAAGAAATTGATACTCGCCTGGAAGGCGAAATTATTCAGTTGCAGAATACAGTTCAGTGGCTGGGAGACCAAATTCAGGTTTTGACAACTCAATCTTTTCTCCATTGTGATTGGAATTCTTCCCATTTTTGTGTCACTCCTATTCCTTTCAATAGTAGTCGACATTGGACGTCATTACGAAAATTGTTAAACGGAGGCCAAAACCTAACTGGTGACCTCCAAAATTAGAACAAGAAATCACCTCTGCTTTTCAAGACAATCTGCCGGATTTTAATAATGATGAGTTCTTTTCTGGCCTGGCCAGTGGATTGTCGCAGGTCTACCCTTTGGCTTCATTAAAAACTATGCTTAGTAGTATTGGGAGTAATTTGGGTGTTCTCCTCCTTATATTATGTTTTGTGCTCTTAATCTACAGGTGCTGGAAATAAAGGCAAGCAACTCAGCAACAGCAAAGACAAAACATGGCTGTGTTCCATCACGTTCACCTTCAAAAATAAATAAGATAGGGGGAGATGTAGGAGACTGACATTATATTATACTGGTTTAAGAATTAAATTCAGTAATATACGTGCTCTGCCCAGAGCATTTTAAAGTAATGTGCTCCGGACAAGGTCCCTTATGATAAACAGGGCTGTTGCGTAGAGGCATAACAACGGACCTGAGTTGCAAGTAAGCAAGAGCTGCCCAGCCCACAGCAATGGGGGTCTGGAGGCCACACGATAAACACATTGTTCCTGTGATTGCTGCTTGATCCCCATAAGATGGCTGGTTAGTCAATGACGGGTAAGACCCCTCAAGGGAAGGGCAACCTAGACATGCACAGCTGCCAGTGTTCAGCCTAAGATCTTAAGGGGTCACCCTAAGAGAAGCTGGGGATGAGAAATGCCCCCGTGACTTGCCTTGCCCATCCTTGCTAATCTCGGTCCGTGATCTATGCCTGGTGCCTAGAGCGACCACCTGGAAGCTTTGAGTCAGGGGACATCTGTGTCCCTAAGGCTACGTGTTCTGGCATTTATGGCCATTGCTGCAATGCCTGTGTGGTTATGTATAAGGAACTAACTTTAATTTTTTAGAGTATAAAAATAAAACTGACCCAGTGTATTATTACTCGAGTCAACCGTCTGTATATGTGTCTCCATTTTTCTTTGTGTTCTGCGTTTTTGTTTTGTGTTCTGTGTTCATCCTCCATCCTGTAAATGGGCCATGGCAAACACTTTATGTAGTTAAAATATTTAGTTTTTATTGGTGCTTATATCATTTTGTGGTGGTAAAAGCTGGACTGTAAAATAGGGAGCTACTCTCCCCATTTCTCTCTGTGGTCACATAGCCTCTCACCTTACTTATTCCTAGGCTCACAGGTGGACCAATGGCCACCGCACTTGAGTTTCCACGACTTTATAGCTCTGGTGCCCATCACTGTCTCAGTCTAGGTTTCCTATTTTTCCCCCCAAATCTGTTGTGCCACTTGTTCTAACTTCTAATTCTCTGCCAGATTTTTTGAGCATGTTGTTTATCTTTTTAGACACACATAGTTGTTACATAGTCTATGTAATATCCCAGATTGCGGAGGCCTCTGGGTCCGCTTCTGTCATCTGTGGTTTCTGCTTTTCTTACTAGCAGTTTCTCTCCTCTTCGGTGCTTGTTTACCTTTGCTTGTTTGCTAGATGTATTTGAAAAGGTACTTGCAGAAGTTATTTGGAGCCTAGGATGATGTCATCTTCTTTCCAAAAGGATTTTTGGTTTTGACACTAGCAATTTAGAGTCACCTTAAACAATCAATGCTTGCTGGAGATTTTGGGGGGCTTGAGACTCTACTCCAAGTTCCTGTAAGCCTTTAAACCCTGCCAAAAACGTGGGTTCGGTTCTTTAACTCTCTTCAGGACCAGCAAATGTCCCCAGAACAGAAGCAACCCCAAGTTCCAGGCCTGCCTCCACAGATTCTTGCCTTTTCCAAATTTTGGCTCAGCAAAACTATTAATAGATACTTTAAAGATATTTCATACAGCTTTTTTAGTTGTCTTTGCTTGGAGGCTTGAATTACTCAGACTATTAATGGAAGCAGAAACCCTTCTGATCCAGGCCTCAGATTTTCATTGGTTTGCTCTCCTCTGGAGCTTAGCTTTCAGAAAACAATTTCTGTCCTCCTCACCCTCCCCCTGGCCCACGTTCCGCTCCCTCACCCCCCTCTCTTGCGGCGCGTCACCCCACTTCTCCTCCTCCCCCCCTCCCCTCCCCCGCTCCCCGGCTCCTCCGTCCCCCTCCTTCCTCTGTCCCCTCCTCCCTCCTCCCGCCTGCCCCCTCCTCGCCCCTCCCCCTCTCCCCCTCACCGCTCCTCCTCCCCCCTCCTCCCTCCTCCTCCTTTCTTTCTGTAGTACTAAAGTCTGCATGGCCTTTTCCAGCATACGCACATTGCCCCCTCACCTCCAGCCAGGGTGGGAAGAGAAGCCTGCCTCTTACACATCTAATATTCCAGAAGCGCTGAAGTCAGAGCAGCCCTCCTCACCGGGCTCCGAAATGAGAGGCCTGTTTACGCACTGATTCAGGCCCCTAAAATGCAGGCACAGGCTGCCGCGTGGAGAATTGTAGCTTCAGTTCGACACCATTATAAGGAGCTGCTCTGGGGCATAAAGGCCCCTGCTAGGTCTCAGTTTGCAGGCAAGGAGATTGGAGCTGCAGGAAGCTCTGGAGGCAGAAAGGGCCAAACAAAAGGCTCAGAGGTGCTGAGTGATGCGTGAAACGTCTGCAGGCCCCGAAGACTTTCACAGGCTCCACTTGTAAACGAAGCCTTTTCATCCCATTGGTTTGGGGTGAACTGTTCCCCTAGCTTTTGCTAGGTGAGGTGTGAGGTGACTTAAGGACTGGGGGTGTGTGGAGCGCGGAGTTTGGAGGCCGGCTTTCTGACGAGGCCTCTGTCCTAGGCATCAAATGCAAATATTGCCGGAGTCACGCACAAAGGTGCTGGGTTTCCATGGCGACTCTCAGGGGCCTTTGGGACCCGCCTTTCAGGGCTCTGGGCCTCGGTTTCTGAGGGACGGAGATGGCCATGCTGTAAGAAGTCCGAGGCGCGCAGGGCCGGGAGAGGAGCCGCGACGCCAAGTGCGCCGGTCCGGAGGGGCGGGCGGGGCGGCCTCCCAGCGGCGGGCCGGCAAGGGGCAGCGTGCGGGGGGCGAGGCGTGGCGGGGCGGCCGTGCAGGGGGAGGGGGCGGCGGGGCGAGGTCTGGCGGCGCGTCTGAAAAGCGCCCGAGGCGGGCGGGGCGAGGTCTGGCGGCGCGTCTGAAAAGCGCCCGAGGCGGCGGGCGTGGGGGCGATGGTTAGTGATCCCGAACGTATTGCCCAGTTTCCTTTGAGCCTTCCTTTGGGCCTTTTATTAAATCCCAAAGCACACGGTGGATGGTGACAGTCACGCGAAAAGGTGGGGAGGTGGGGCTGGAAGCCCGGGAGGGCTCAGATGCGCGTTGGGGCTCCTGCGCACCGGAGTGCGAGGCTCGCCCGACACTGGAGCCGCTGCGGAGAGGGCCTGAGAGCAGTCCGCCCGGTCGGCCGGGCGGCCAGGGACTCCCAGCGGGCGCCGAGGGGCCCGGCCGCCGAGCACACGGCCTGGGCCGGGCCCTGCGTCTCCCTGGGCCCTCGCGCCGCCGAGCCCGGTCCCCCGCGCCGTCAGCTCGTGCGCCGGCTCAGCCCTCTTTAGGGCCCGGAGCTGGAAAACCGCCGCGTCTGGGGAGTGCGCCCGCGGCCCCGCGCGCCGTCCGGGAGCCGGGCGGACGGCCAGGTTGTGGGGGCTGAGGCTTACAGAACGTTGGGCCTCTTCAAGGAAAAAGGCACAAAAATAAAATTAGGGCAAATAAAATTAGGAACCAAAGTAAATATTGACTTAAATGGGAAAAGCAATGACAAATTATAAATTTTAAAAAGGTGACAAAAGGCCGGGCGCGGTGGCTCACGCCTGTAATCCTAGCTCTCTGGGAGGCCGAGGCGGGCGGAGAGACAGCGCCACCTACTGCCCGCAGGGAGACAGTGGCCCCAAACGCTCAGCCCAAGGACCCTCCCATTGCCTGTTTGGCAGGTGGGCAGATAATCCAGGTAATGGAACGTCCAAGGACGCACAGGAGTTTAAACTCAACAAGGGGATCAAGACCAGGAATAACGATCTGATGGCACTGGGGTCGGGAAGGTTATGGCACCTGCATATGGCTAACAACCGCGCAGGGGCAGAGTGGGGGTCTGAACGGGCCCCTCTGTCTTCCACGTCCATGCAGTTCCACCACCCTGCGCTGGGCGTGAGTGCATCTCCTTTATGGGTGATCAGAGAAGTGAGAGGGAACCCAGGAGCCAGTGCAGAGGAGAATTTGAAGGAGAGGACTTCGCATGATCTAACGTTGGAGTTGTCATGTGGACTGAGAAAATATCACTAGGATTTGAGTTTAGGATTTAGTTGCAGACCTTTGAGAGAGTGGCTTAAGGTGCCCAGCCCTGGGCTAGGCGTAGGAGGGTATGGAAAGATACAGAGACATAGTCCTGTTGCTCATGGAGCTAAGTATGAGCCAAAGTCAGGGAAATTGGCACAAACCAAATGTTCATAAATGAGACAGTAGTTTAGGAAAGGGAGATGCACACAGACCTGCAGGCTCCTCCAACCCCTTTGTGCAAATCACTGTGGGCCCCTCTTCTGCTTCGGGGCCAGTGCTACCCTGAGCCAGGGCCCATGGCTTGGCAAGCAGACTGTGGGCTGGATCTGAGTCCGCACTCACCCCCTTTGCCAGCGGCTCTTCTTGTGCAGTGAACAGACTCCCAACTGTGAGTGGAAGCCCTGGATGAGGAATGAAGGCTGAGCTGTTAGGAAAGTTTCATGCAGGAAACGGGGCCTTGCGCTGGGCTTTGACTGATGCGAAAGGTTTAGAGCAGCTGCAAGGAAGACATAGGAGGCCTTTCTGCAGGGAAGAGGCAGAGCAGAGGCAGGAAGAAGCATAAAGGAGAGGGAGAAAATGAAAGAGGAGAAAATTCTTGGCTCCAATATTTTTGACACAGGTTAAATTAGGTAAGATCACTCATTTTAAAAGTTATTAAGAGGCCAGGCGTGGTGGCTCACACATGTAATCCTAGCACTCTGGGAGGCCGAGGCGGGAGGATTGTTGGAGCTCAGGAGTTTGAGACCAGCCTGAGCAAGAGCGAGACCTGTCTCTACTAAAAAAATAGAAAGAAATTGGCTGTACAACTAAAAATATATAGAAAAAATTAGCCGGGCATGGTGGCGCATGCCTGTAGTCCCAGCTACTCGGGAGGCTGAGGCAGGAGGATCGCTTGAGCCCAGGAGTTTGAGGTTGCTGTGAGCTAGGCTGACGCCACGGCACTCACTCTAGCCTGGGCGACAGAGTGAGATTCTGTCTCAAAAAAAAAAAAATTATTGAGTACCTAGTATATGTAAGGAAATGTGCAAAATAGGCTGACTCTGGGGAGCAGTGACCCCGCCATGTGCGCTGTGCGCAGTGTGTGAAGCGAGCCGCTGCCCTGTGAAGCGGCTGAAGCTTGGGCTGTCCCAGAACACGAGGCTCCAAATCTCTGGAATTAGGTCTAGAATCCAGATCCAGATCCTTTGACTAGTCCAGAATTCCCTTCATTCTAGCCACTGATTCTTACTCTTCTTAAACATTTCAAAATATAAGTAATCGTTAAAAAGATGCTACACTTACTGGTTCAAAATTTGAAAGGAACACATTGGAAAGTGTCCCTCCCATCCCTGGTTTCCAGACATCTAGTTTTTCTCCCCAAAGGCAACCTATTACTAGTTTCTTGATGTATCCTTCCAGAAATATTCTCTGCATAAAAAGCAAATAAGTATGTATTTACTCTTCCCTCGTTTTATACAGATAATAGCACCTTATCCACACTGTTTTGTGCATGGCCTTTTTTCTGATGTACCAATTTACCTTGAAGATCACTCCCATAACAAAAGCTCCCTCCATCACCCTGCCCCTACTGATGGCTGCAGTGTCCTATTGTACGGATGTAGCCAGTTTATTTAGCTTAAACTTCATTGGTGAACATTTGGGTTGTTTCTAAAATCTGATGCAAATGTTTCTAAAACATCTATGTAATGTTTATATAGATATGTTATTCATATATGCATTCATATATTATTCATGTATACCTGTATGTTAAACATCACAATTGCTGTTCTAAGAGAATGCACATTTGTAACCTTGAAGGAAATTATGCAATTACTCTCCCCTGAAGGAGGAGTACTGACCACATTCCCGTCAGCAGGCGCGGGGCTGTCTCCCTGCATGCTCACCAACGCCGCGCCACCAAACACTGGGATTTCTGCCAGTCTGATAGGGGAAAACGGTATTTCAGTGTCATTTTAATTCACTTTTTTTCATGTGAGTGACACTGAGCATTTTTTAATACGTCTTAGAGACTTTTTCTTTTTCTTTTTCTATGAAGTGTCTTCATTTCTTCTGTCCAATTTTCTCCTTGGTAATTGATAATTTCTTTCTTGTGCAATAGCTCCCTACACATTAGGGAAATTAGCCCTTTGATTTTGATGGTAGTTGTAAATGTTTTTTCCATTTTTATTTGGTCATTTGTCTCTTGACATTGCCTTCATAGGTTTTTTTTTCATGCAGATCTTTTTAAAGATCTTTCCTGTAATGGCTTCTACATTTGAAACATTCTCAAGCTAGTGTTACTTAAATACAGTGGATTACTGCCTTTAGTGGCAGTAAGTGGCACTTACTGCCTTAAGTGGCTCAATAAGCTGGCAGGAAAATCAAGAAAATTATCTAAGTATAGTAGAGGTTACTATACGATCAGTACTCTAAATTGGTGCGAAGTGTTCTTTCTTACTATGTCTACCCATATATCCAGCTATCAACCTGTCTGTCCATTTATCAAGCCTTTACTCAACTCTGTCTAAGGGCAAGGAAAGGTATGAGGAAAGATGACATTTTACGGTAATGCAGCCCGTGGCTGGGGATGACAGACACCCAGATCTGAACCCCTGCTCTCTGTTTACCCTGCTGTGGCCTCGGGCAGGTTACTTAATCTACATCTTTGTTTCTCTATTACCCCACAAGATATGGCAGAAATGGAGAACTGGAGGGTCAAAGAGTAGAGGCCGAGGAGGAGGAGCGGGTGGAGCAGTGAGTGGCGGGGAGCTATAAGAGGAGCACGATGCCCGCATCCCTGACTTTGGAGACGCCCAGAGAGCCAGCATTGGGTGTGTGTGTGCAGTGGGTGCAGCAGGACACGGAGCTGAGGGACCTCCGTGTTGAATGGTCATCTGTGTAGTCCTTAAAATCACCAGGATGATGGCAGAACACGGGCCGGGAAAAGCCCATGGGCCTCAAGCCCAAGTCGGGACGGTGGGCGGGGCCTGTGGTGCAGTAAGGCAGGCAGCGCGCCCACGCGCGGCGCCCCGCAGCGTCTGGGCACGGAGTGGCCACGGAGTGGGAGCATGAAGCGAGGGAGGTGCCCACCCACCTGTGACCCTGAGGTCCGAGAGAGCCATCTCCTTTAGGAGAAAGCCAGGGGACTTTGGGGAAAGGGGCTTTGTAGGAGCAACCTAAAAGAACTGATTTTCCACTCACAGCCCTCTGACACCAGACGTATGGGGGATTTCTCCCACAGCAACCAAATCTCCAGCTCTGACACCAACTGGCTGTTTTGCAACTTCACTCAGTTCTAATGCTGACTACCTGGAGTCAGCTCAGACCCCACAGGCCGGGGGCTCAGTGCCACAAACCTGCTCCCCACTTCAGATGCCAGCTGCACAGGAGGGTCTCCACGCTGCCCACACTTCGGGCCAACCTGGCACAAATCAGGAGCTCCTGTGGCCCCTCCCTAGGTTGGGAAACTTGCTATAATGATCCACAGAACTCAGGGAAACGCTTTAGTCACTATTACTGGTTAATTATAAAGGACACAAAAGAGCAGTTCGGGGACAAGGCACACAGGGCAAGTCCCAGAACGGTCCTGAGCACCAGAGCTCCTGTCCCCTGCGGGGTCTGGGGTGCACCACCCTCCCGGTACGTGGGTGCATTCGCCAACAT